TTCTCCTCACCTTACATCCTCTCCTCTTCTCTCCTCTCTTTTCCTCTTCTTCTCTTCCTCCTCTCCTCTCTAAACTCATTCCACATGCAGAGCTTGTTTCTGCACGCTTGGCTTCAGGCGTGTTCCCTCCATCCCTCCATCCCTCCATCCCTCCATCCCTCCATCCCTCCATCCCTCCTTCCCTCCATCCCTCCATCCCTCCATCCCTCCATCCCTCCGGGCCTGAACCCGGGTCACAAAATATCTGTGTTTCTGATCCTCTGACTCTGACTCTGACTCTGACTCTGGTCACTGCTTTATGAGTCCACTCACACCTGACACCTGCAGACTATTAATGATGTCTGCATCAAGTATTTAAAGGATGTCTAACTGAAAAAAACAAAGAAAAACTGTTCATTCATTAATGGTTAACCCCATAATGCCAAATGTGTCATATCTGATCCGGTTTCTTTTGGATGTGAGACTTTCTGCATCATTCAGTGGTAAAAGCTTTGCTCAAACCCCTGTTGTACACATTCAGATATACCTGATAACAGCCAGTAGAAGACCACACCAACATATATTTTTGACTTATTGCACGCTAATTTGATCAAAATCATTTCTGTTTTTTTTTCTTCATATGTTGTTGAGGGGCCAAAGAAAGACTTCAGACTAAAAAAAATCCAATATTCTTCCTATTTTTCTTGGATCAGGCTTTAAAGGGTTAAAGCAAATCACTGGTGAGGAATTAAAGTAAAAACTCAGAAAGAGATTGTTTCTCTAGTTAAAGTGGAGAGTTTTCTGAAGGCTTCTTAAAGAGTCCCTATTTGAATGTTGCAGGATTTCTGCTGAAAATGAGATGCTGAGTAATTCCTTTGAAAGCTTGACGGTTATTTGTCAAAGAAAGTGACGAACAACATGGGAAAGAGGGGCAAAGGGACCATCTGCTTTTACATCTGGAACACTTTACTCTAACAGAGACGATATCAAACTCAAGCTTCTTTTTGATCACAACCACAGACCTGCCAGCTTATCGGACCAGTCTTACTAAAATGCATCATTAAAATTTCAGAAACCGATATTCTGATGGACAAACACAAACATAAAGCCAGATTTGATTAGTCTTTTACATGTTAAGTCCCATGACAAACTCAGGTGGGAGGAGTTTACTCAAATAACAGTAAAAGTACAGTGTGTTAACACTACTTTACAGCATCTTTATATATATATAAAGATAAAATATAAAGTAGTTTTAACACAATGTCCTTTTACTGTATATATATATATATATATATATATTCATACTGTACACATGTCAGAGGCTCAGGACTGGATCACAGTGAGGAATCAGACTAAATTATTGTGATTCGTTTAGATAAAAGAACAAGTCAGGAATCCAGGCTGTCTTATAGTCTGACAAAACAATTAAAACACAGCTTGGATATGAATTTTTGACATTGATTTAACACAAAAAGATAATTGTTCCTGTCGTTCCTGTAGATAAATGTTGAGAAAACATTGGGAATTGATTAACTTTGCTACCATTTGTGCTACAAAGATTGCCATTCACTTCTGACATTTGGAAGTTTAATTACATTGTTAGGGTTTATTTTATATATATTACCATCTGGAGTTGAGAAATCTCACTAGAAACAGCTGATAAAATCCCATTTATACTATAATTTCTAAAATGAAATTAAGTCTGAAATGCTAAGCTTGGTTTTGAATAGAGAATAGACTGACTGAAGTGTATTGGTTAAATTACTAAATCAAAACACCATTCCCTAAAACTACCGTCACGATTTGTGAAATAGGATCAAAAGATAAGATTGGACATATTTTTTTCAGGCTACAGAACATGAAACTACCATCACAGAGGTCTAAAGTCTCAACACAATTCATTAATTCTCACATAGAAGAAAGAGAAATGTCTAATTAGCTAAAAGGCCGTTTGCCACAGACCTGGCCTCACAAACCAGGTGATCAGGTGGCCATGAAGGATTAAAAAAAGCATTCAGGTTCCCTAAATTAACACCTTTCTTTGTGGTGATGAACCACTCATTCATTCCCTTTCCTTATTGTCTAAATCCTGGCATGCATATCTCTCTTATTGGAGCGGAGGATTGATTCCTCTTCATTGTGTAAAGACGTTTCTGGACCTCACGATGACCCCAGAAAGTGAGTTCTGCTAAAAAGGATCAGGCTTTACCCCAAAAAATATACCAATCATGTCATTTATGTAGACCAGAAACGGGAAAATAGTTTCTTTATGGCTAGTTGAGCGTTAAATCCACTCAAAATTGTGCAAAAAGCAAAAAGATAACAACATTTGTTTGATTTTTCCTTTGATTACAAGATCTCCTCAAGCACACAGAAATCATATTCATAAGAATTATATAACACTTTTTTCCATATATGAACTACAGCGAATGTCCAAAGAGTCAAATCCAGACTTTTTACAGACTTTGCTCTTCACTCTTGTGCCATGAAACATATCTGTGAGTTATTCCAAATACCTACATAAATACTGTATATGTTTAATAAGAAATAATAATGTAAAACATATATACATTTATAAGTTAGCTTGATGCTACATTACTCTCGTGTTCCTAATGTAAACAGAAAACATGTAAAACACGTATACATTTATGAGTTAGCTTGATGCTACATTACTTTAGTGTTCCTAATGTAAACAGAAAACATGTAAAACACATTTATATTTATGAGCTAACTTGATGCTACATTACTTTAGTGTTCCTAATGTAAACAGAAAACATGTAGAACACATATACATTTATGAGCTAGCTTGATGCTACATTACTCTATTGTTCCTAATGTAAACAGAAAACATGTTAAACACTTTTTAATTTATGAGCTAGTTTGATGCTACATTACTTTAGGATTCCTAATGTAAACAGAAAACATGTAAAACACATACATTTATGAGCTAGCTTAATGCTACATTACTTTAGTGTTCCTAATGTAAACAGAAAACATGTAGTCTAAAACACATATACATTTATGAGTTAGCTTGATGCTACATTACTCTAGTGTTCCTAATGTAAACAGAAAACATGTAGCCTAAAACACATATACATTTATTAGCTAGCTTGATGCTACATTACTTTAGTGTTCCTAATGTAAACAGAAAACATGTAGCCTAAAACACATATACATTTATGAGCTAGCTTGATGCTACATTACTTTAGTGTTTTCCACATATGAACTACAGTGAATGTCCAAAGAGTCAAATTCAGACTTTGCTCTTCACTCATGTGCCACGAAACATATCTGTAAGTTGTTCCAAATACCTACATAAATAATGTATAGCCTATGTTCTATATGAAATAATAATGTAAAACACATATACATTTATGAGCTAGCTTGATGCTACATTCCTTTAGGGTTCCTAATGTAAACAGAAAACGTGTAAAACACATATACATTTATGAGCTAGCTTGATGCTACATTACTTTAGGGTTCCTAATGTAATCAGAAAACATGTAAAACACATATACATTTATGAGCTAGCTTGATGCTACATTACTCTAGTGTTCCTAATGTAAACAGAAAACGTGTAAAACACGTATACATTTATGAGCTAGCTTGATGCTACATTACTTTAGCGTTCCTAATGTAAACAGAAAACGTGTAAAACATATACATTTATGAGCTAGCTTGATGCTACATTCCTTTAGCGTTCCTAATGTAAACAGCAAACAGCTCTTGGAGGTACACGGTTCCCGGGGGAGCTCCCTCAGGGAGTTCCCAGAACCTTTCAGTGAGAAAGCGCCCACTGGCATGTTTAACTGTTTGACTCTGATTCTGCGGCGTGCCTATAGCTGATGTTTAAACAGCGTTTCTGTCTCCATAATGTAAACAAAGACATCTGCTCCGTGTGATTGGTGCATTGGCTCCATATTAGATATGCAGCCAGTGAAACAAACCCCTCAAACACGGCAGGAATAAGAAAAGAAATGTCCTATTTACTGATTGTAGAATGATCCTCATGTATTTAACCCTTTAAAGCCCGATCCAAGAATAAAACAAAACAAAAAATGACTTTTTTTGGGGGTTTGAAGTCTTTGTTTGGCCTTTTAAAAAAATATGTAAAAAGAAAAAACTGAAATACATTTTTTATAATAATAATTTATTACTATGCGATAAGTCACGATAATTTTTTGTGCATATTTTTGACGTATTGCACGC